AGACACGCGTCTCCAAACCGCAGCCGGCCGCTGCTCCCGCGCTGGCCGCCCGGCTCTGCACAAGCCGGGTCTCTGCTTTGCAGGGAAGCGGGCAGGTGCGGGTTTTGTTGTTTTAACAGTTTCGCTTAAATTGTTATTCGTTGCAAGGTTTTAATAAACTTCGTCCGCGCGCTCACGTTTCCACCAACACACGCCAAACTTTCTTGCTGCCCCCGATGCCGGTGGAGTTCGAATGAAAGTCAAGCGGCCTCCTTAAAAAGAAAGAAAAGAAAAAAAAAAAGCTCGTGAGGATTCTAGGGCGTCAGATGCGAGGGCTTATTTCTAAATAACCGTTCAGCGATCAGGGAGCGAGCTTTCCTTCCGCCACCAAGTTCAGCTCTCCTTCCTCTCTCTCCAAGGAAAGTGACTCGATAAGGCGCTCCCGTTCCCCAGTCCCCTCCTTAGTGTGGCCTGCGCGGGCCCCGCCGCGGAGAGGGGTGCGCCTCCCGGACCTCAAACCCACAGCAGCGAGCCCTTCCTTTGTGCCTGCCCTTGGCTGTGAACTTTCCCGCGCGGTGGGTTCTCCTTTAAGAAAGTAGCGATCTCTATGAATATTTAATGCCGGGCGCCGGCCGCCCGGGCGGAGGGGAGCCCCGCGCCCGGGTCCCCGCAGCCAGGACGGGAAACCGCGGGCCGGGGCGCGCGGCCTGCCGCGTTCATTTCCATAAGAAAGCCGGCCGCGCGGCTGGAGGGAGGATTCGCGCCCGGCCGCCCTCCCCCGGACCCCCGGCTTTCTGCTAGAAGCGGGCTCGGGAGCTCAGAGCCCCAAGTGTGCGCTCTCGTCTCCGATGGTATCGACAAAGTGTGGTTTCAAATGTTGCCCCGACTGAGGCCGGTTTCCTGTCTGTGTGCGGAGTGGAAGGACCGCGCCGGGTGAGTCCGGGGCGCCGGGGAGCGGGCCGCAGGCCGGGGCCGGAGAGGGAGGGCCGCTGGTGCTCCCGCGGGCCGGGCTCTGAGAAGGGGAGCCAGGCGGAACGAAGACCCCAGCACAGAGCAGCGAGTGTGTGCGCTCGAGTGTGTGTGTGTGTGTGCGTGTGTGTGTGTTAGGGACCAGGGGGTGATGAGGGTCCAGGGGCCGCTGGTGGGAAGGTCTGACCCGCCTCGCGATGTCCCTGTTCAAAGACCCGGGGCAACTTGCCCTCGCCGCCGCGCACCCTCTTCCTACGAAGGAATAAAGTGAACTTGCTCAGTTACTCGATTCGGCTGGCGGTTCATTTCTTTCAGCTTCAGTATTGAGTTTCTTCCTTCCTTTCAGTGCGAGCAGCCGTGTGTCCTCAATTCCAGTGTGTGTGTGTATGTGTATATGTATGTATAACCTCCTAGGTACTTTATGATTCCATCTGGATAAATTAAAACCCAGATCTGTAATGTTTATTCTTAGTTTACAAAAGGCAGGGGGAAAATATGTGAGACACATGTCTGCAAACATAACAGAAGTACTTTCCCTTTTGCTTGAAAAAGTTGCAAATGGCCTCCCTCCACTGATCCTGGACCACCTGTACCTCCGGGTGAAACTAAATCGGGTCAGGAATAAAGCACCAATCAGATCAAGCAATTAAATACCAATTATGACTATTAAAGACTTTATTACAAATGATTGGAGTTGAGGACTCCCAACCCGCTCCAGGTGATCAGGCTCTTTCAAAATTCTGCTGCGTTGGATTTTTACAGCACTCCACCCCAGTAAAGGGGGTGGGAAGACAGAGGTGATGTTTTCAGAGGGTTCTCCAGTAGGTATCCCATGGTCAAAGTTGCGTTTATTTCTTTCAGTGAAGTTTATTTCTACTTCTGGTAAATAACGGAGTCTTCATTTCTGGCCGTGTCAAGTTATGCAAAGTGTAATTGTTGGTGGTGGCTATTTGGCTTGGATGCAGAATTGAGGGGCTCAAGGTGGGGTGTGTTCTCTCTCCAGTTACTCTGGTAATGCTGAAAACCCTGGAAGAGTTTAAGAAACAAGTGTTTTAAATCTTTAGATGGGGTAATGGAGACTGGGATGGCTGGGAGTTGAGGAAGTGAGGGATGGTGAACTCAGGGAGCAGAGGAGAAATAAGTTACTTGGTCTGGGTTTTAAATTTTCTTTTTGCTCTTGAGTTCAGATGGTTTCAGCCTGTCATAAGCTGAGCGACTGTTCAAAAGAGGAGGTTAGTGAGACTTGTGTCTGTTGGTGTAAAGGTTACTGTGGCTGAAGGTGGTTCACCACCCCTCCTTGTCTCTTTAGTGGTACCCCTTCTCATCCCAAATGGAAATCCATGCTCAGCTTTGGGATGGGAGGAGGTGGCATGGAGGGAAGGAGGGAGGGAATAAATTGCTTTTGGGAATCCACAGCAAGAAAAAAGGAGAGGGCAGCTTGCAGGAGCCCTGGACAGCCACCGTGGTGCAGTCAGGCTAAGCAACCGGGCAAGTTGAAGGTGTCCCCTCTGCTCATACCCCAGAGCTCAGCCCTCCCGACCAGCCTATCAGGACTGTGGGTGAGCCGAGCGAGCGGGGCAGAGAATGTGTTCGGAATGTCTCCCCAGCACCTCGGCTGGCTCTTGGTGGAAGCCCAGGGCAGCAGCGCACATCTGGATCTGATGCATTTACCAGGCTGGTATGGAAGTGCCCAGGCTGAACAGCAGAAACCTGAGCTACTTGCGACCAGCAAACTCCTCTGCTCAGCGGCGGAAAAGTTTGCATGGGTTCAGAGTGCTGGGTGGCCGCTGCTCTCGCCGGGAAGCACGTGACCCCGCCCCATTCCAGTCTATTGGAGTTAATTGCCCTGCAGTGAGGGTATCTCACACCTCAGCCAAGGGATACAGCAGAGAAGGGAGTCTTCCAAATTGGATGGGGCGGGGTCATCCTGGACACCCGAGGGGTCCAAAAACGTCGCGTGAATGAGATGGGCCTGGGTTCTGCTCCCACCAGAGGCCCCTGAGGCAGGGTCAGGGTTTCAGCAGCCCCAGAAGACCCTATAATCCTGCGGGTAAAGCTGCCACAGCTCCTTTGAGTGGGCAGCTGACCCCAGACGCAGATCTTAACACAACAGCTCCGTACTCAGCAACAAACTCCCTGCTGACCCTAAGACTCCCAGGAAAGAGGGCACTAGAGCCCAGTTCACAGCTCCCGTAACTCAGGGCAGTGGGAGCCCTGCCTACACCAGAGTCTGGCAGTGGGGAGAGAGCCAGGGCTGGGGAACAGGGCTCCGAATATCTGTTGTCCCCCTTCCTTGGGTCAGCTGTAGACAAACCTGAGACGACACATGGCTGTGAAGAGGGGCAGGGCTGGAGGCTGGAGCTGGCCCTGGGTCCTACCAGGCTCCGTGCTGGAAGAAAGCTCCCCAGTGAACCCTACCAGGCCACCTGGGGCAGACACCAGAGGTCGTGCGGTCCTTCCCCTTTCCTTACTGAAGGCCCCCATCATCCCTGAGAAGACTTTGCTTTCTTGGAAATCCCGGTGGGGAATCTGGTGAGCCTTGGAGGCAAGTTTCCTCAATTTCCTTACAACTTGTTTGGAAATTGACATATGAAGAGGACATGCTCCCAGCTGGGGCCTCTGCGGTGGCAGAAAATCTTTCCCCTCCCAATGAGGCCCCCAACCCCCCCTAAACGGCCCCTTAGATGTTAGGTTAGCCGGAGAAGGAGTCTGGTCTCTCCCCTACACCCAAGTAAATACAAATGAATTTTGTTCTTGAAAAGAAACTTACAATTTGAAACTTTTCCCAGTTAGATTCACCCGGTTCCACCAGGGTCTCTTACCAGCCGCCATAACCCACCCCCACCTCTTTCTCCTTCCTTCTTTGTGGCTTAAAGTTGCATTTGAGGAGGGTTTATATCATGTTGTTCATGTCAGCAATTCTCTGTCTCTACTCTCACCCATCTCCCTGTATGGAATTGGAGTTGGAAACCCACACACACACACACACACACTCACAAATTCTCTTTAAAATCTTCCGCTATTCTTCCAGACTGGAGGAGTTGACAAGACGTAGACACATTAAGTTGCAGAAAATACAGTGGACTGATCAGCCAAAATGCATCTCATTTACACTTGTATGTCGCCAGGGGTAGGAGCTAGTGTCACTCAGGGCCTCCAGCCCTCTTGCCATGCTGGGCTGACTGGCTGGAATTTCCAAGCCGGGGCCCCTGGTGGGGTCGCAGGCCCAGCCCAGCTCAGGCCAGCAGGGGTGGGGTGGGGGAGTCAGCGGCGTCTGGAGGCCTGGCCTGAGGGCTGGGGCCAGCCTGGGCAGGTCTTCCGCTCTGGGCAGCTCAGGAGCTGGGAGGCCCAGCGGGGTGGACGCTGGCAGCTGGAAGCCCAGGTCAGCAGCCATTCCCAGAGGCCTCCCCCGGATTGAAACAGAGAAAGGGGACACTGCCAAGTAGAGAATCACGGACCACACTTTAGACCTACTTCCACTGCTCTCCCAAGGTTTTGTCCTTGTCACCCACTTTGTCACCGGCGGAGAGTCACCTCGGCCTGATGGGTTCTTCCACCTACTGGTCCTGAACTTGGACCCTAGCTTCTCGCTTCCTGTTGGCCTCACTGAGTCCCAGTTCTGGGCCTCCAGCTCCCAGGGAAACTGGGAAAGGCAGGTGGGAGTTGCACTGGGAAACTTGGAACCCAGTGGGAGCGTGAGGGTGAAGTCATAGATCTCTCTGGGGTTCCCGATCCTCACTCCCTCTCCCTCCTGTGCAGGTCTCAACCCTTCCCGATCCCGACCTCTGTGTTAGGGCACCAATTCCTAGCCGCCAATTGCTACACAGCAGCTGGAGGCCGAGGCTGCGCTGGAGCTCAGGGTCAACGCCAGGGCTCCGTGGCAGCGGGTCTGGGGTGCGGGATGGAGGGCCCAGGCGGAGGCCTTGGGGCTGCCCACCTGCTTCGGCCAGCGCCCCAGCGTCGCGTCGTGGGAGGCGTCCTTTCCACTGTCTCCTGCTTGCTTTCTTGCCAAGGCCCTGGTGACTCAGATGCCCGCCAGCCCCGCAAGCTCCCTTCTCCAGTGCGCTCGCTCTCGCCCAGCAGGGACGCGCGGGGAGTCCTCCGGGGCGCACCACCAGGTATCGCCAGGCCAGATCGCCGCCCACCACCTTCCCGGGGCCAACCGAGGGTGACCCGTGTGGCCCAACCAAACCAGCGCCTCGCTGGGCTGCCCGGGGCCGGGGCCCAGCCACCCACCCTTGCCCGCGGGGGCCTGCAGGAGCGCGGGGCGCGGCTGCGAAGCAACCCCGCACCATTGACAGCCCGGGCACGTCCGCGGAGCCCTGGGGAACAATCAACGGACTCTCTGTCCTGAGGAGCTGGGGACACGCCTGGAAGGTGTGTGATCCTGTAAAGATCCGTGGTACCACTTTCGCTGGAATCCTTTGTTACAGCTTTGTCAGCTGGTGCGCCTTCCTGGCCCCCCAACTCCCAATCACCACCCCGTGCGGAGGGGGCCTGTCGCTGGGGATCAGCTGGGACCCACCGCCCCGCTCCAGATCCCCTCCTGCAAAATGCTTGTCCTTTGGCTTCATCTCCCCTTCACGCTGGGGGCAAAAGAACACGGTTTGCAACGCCTGCGCCTTTGGGGCGAGGTTCTCCCAGAAGAACAGGCTTCCTGAATGTGACCTCGGGCTGCTGCAGCGGCGCCCTCCTCCTCCTGCTGCTGGTGAAAGGACAGCTCTCCTGCCTCAGGCCGGGGTGGCTGGGGTGTGCACAGCAGGGCCGTGGCCAGGGGGTGACCTGCCCCCCCCACAGTGAGGATTTGAGGATTCTGACAGAAAGAGCAAGGTGAGGATAAGGTGTTCACTAACTTGGCTCCTACAGGGCAACCAGGGCCCAGTATTCCTGGATAGGATTGCCCTCCTCAACCCCCAAGTTAGGTACCACTCCTCTTTAGCCACATACAGCTAGAGGCAGGATGTTTAGAGATGCCCAGGGCCCAGAAAGGATGTACCAGTAGTGGCTGTTTACATGTGCCTCAGCTTGCGTGCATCGGCGTATATGGCCACGCAAGTCCCATTTCCCCATGGTTTTTCTATTTAACTTGTCTTTATTTCTTCTTTCTAGGCCTTTCTGCCTGCACGTAGTCATTTGCAGAAAAACCAAGGCTGAGCCCCTCTCCCTGCAGAAAGTACTATATGTTAGGTAACACTCACACAGGAATTCCTCGAGTTTACCCATTTGCTCCAAATCAGCCAGCACTTGGTTTCCTGGCTGGGGTGGGGCCATGGTGGGGGTGTCAGGGTCATGCACACAGAGGCTTCACTCCTGGGGGGCTGTTTTTTCCCCTCCTGGAACCCCCAGTTCAAGGCCCAGAACAAAGGGGATAGTTAAGTGATCTGCCTTTTGGTCTCTCCCTTCACTTCCACCCCCACACCTGCAGGCCCTCCTCTTTGATACACTGAGGAAAACCTGTGGGATCAGGGACACGGGTAAGCAGTGCTACCCTGTGAGGCCCCCTCATGGAAAATCAGAAACCCTGTTTTAAGTGCGGGCTGCTCAGTGCCTTGAATATCCACACCTCCTCTCCTCCAGATGTCACTGGACCTGCCTAGCATCCCTCTCGCATAAAAAACCTCCAGGACAACTCTTAAACAGATCTTGGAAGAGTCAGACATCTCTCAGGTCTGAAACATTTTTAAAGCCCTGTTTGGAAGAAATCTTGGAGGAGCACGAGTTACAATCAGTAGGATTGCCTGAGCAAGTGATGCTGTCCTGTCTGATTGGACCTATTTAATTTATTTTTTTAAACTCTGCTGGAGAGTTTTCAACCTTGGAGATGTCAATGAAAAATAGACTCTCTCTGAGATTCTTACAGGGGGCCGAATGGAAGCACCATGCCTGGTTCCCCCTCACACCTCTAAGTGGTCCTGCCTGAAACTGGGTGGGCTGAGGGTGGTAGGTTTGGGCACCTTTTATTTCAGGGCTGGGTCAAGGCGAGCTCTTTGAAATGAATATCTATTCTATTTCAGTGTGCAAAGTTCCAGCCTACTAAATGGGCTTGCCTTGTGCCGGGAGGGAGGCAGCCCTGCAGGACAGAACTAATGTGTGATTTCTCAGGAAGCTCTTCGTCACAACATCCCTTGTCCTTTTGTTTTTGTTTTTGAATTAAAAGAAGATGTGTTTGCTTTCCTCTCAGTGTTCATCCTGCTATTTTGTAGCTCCAACAATGAAACATAGACAACAGTTAGCGTTCCTTTTGTCCTTTGTAAACCCTGCTCCTTTGGGGACTTCACGAGGCTCTAAACACACTTCAGGTGTGTCCTGTGCATTTGATGTTTACTCATTTTGGGTCGCCCAGAGACTCATACTTGATTCTACCTTCCCCTGGATGTGACCTCTCTCCCAAACAATGCACTTCTCCCAACTCGCAGAGGCAGGCGACTCACTTCAAGAAAACTTCCCAAATTAATAAAGACCAGACTCAAGTTCTCCAGGTAAGTGATACTGGCTTACACTGGTAACGAGGAAGCCAAGAGCCTGCATCACCCCAGGTGTGACTCAGGAAACAGGGGGGGCAGCAGGCACATTGCCACAGACATTTCTAAAACTGTGGCAACGAAGTGAGTTTTACGATAAAATTTTGCTGTGTTCCCAGCCAGCTCAAGTCATTTAAATTTTAGTTTTGTTCACATGCACACACATGCTCTCCAACTAGGGTTATGTTACCAATGCAGTTTCACTGGGTAACTCTGGGGACAGCAACGACTACCAACAAACTTATTTTCTGAAGAGTAAAAAAGAAAAACAAAACCCCCAAAACACAAAACCTCTCAATATCTTTTAAATGGTTATTTTATACTGTTTAACGTCCCCACAGGCAGGAATTCACCAGACACCACTGCTTCTTTTTCTAGGAACAGGTAAATTAGCCACTTTCCTCCCCTGCCCCCAAGACCCAGATATTTTTAAAAGCTAAAATTTCCCTTTCCAAAGGGAAGAAAAGGAACGAATTCCATTAATGAATTACGGACATGGAATGCGGCTTGTCTAGAGCGATTGTATTTGTAAATAAATGGCTTCCTGTTTATTATGTAGGTTTTCCTGAGAACTCCGGTGCCTCTGAGCATTTCATGTGGCAAACATTCAACTTCTGGTTTAAAAGCCACTGTTTTGGGTTTTTGGTTTTGGTATTCTCTGCAAAGAAACCGAGTTAAATTGAGTCAGTTGGGGGCTTCGCGGTCTTCACGCAGCCAGGCTGACCAGGGGGAAAGTAACCTCTGAAGTCCTGGCAGGTTTGCCAGAGTGGGAGGAAGCGGGCTCGGCTGCCGGGGGGACGCTGTTGGAACCAATCTAGGGAGTTTCACTTTGGCCCCGCATCTTTCTAAAGCTGACCGCGGCCTCCTCGGGCAGCTTCAGAGGCGGTGCACGCGCAGTCCTCTGGCGGGTGGCC